ACACACACACGCTGGGTTTCAGAGCCCGGGCTTCGGCCTGAGCTGGAATGTCTACCACACTACTATTTTTAGCTCCATAATGTGAGCTCTGTGAGCCCGAGTCAGTTGAACTGGGCTCTGAGACTCGCTGCCATGGGTTTGTTTGGTTTGGGGTTTTTTTGCAGTGTTGACATACCCTAAGGCCCAGGTCCTCGCACACTTATATGCATGCTTACCTCTAAGCATGTGACTAGGCCCATTGGCCCCTGTGGAATTACTTACATGATTAACTGCATGGGGTAAGTGTTTGTAAGGTCAGGCTGTAAATATGGATTTAGGTGCCTAACTTTTGAAGTTTTGAAAATGCTTCCCTTAATGGTTCTGTGCTTTAGTTCACACCTCCTCTAAACTGCCTATAATCCTTCCCTCCTCAAAGATTTCTGATGAAAATTACAGTTTGTCAGGCTCTTTGAATTATGCAGCTGAAAGGAGTTCATGGTAGCTCAAAGTATTTTGGCTGTCCCACATTGATTGATTACAAAGGAAATGCTCCTTGACTATATATACTGTATCTATGCATGGAAGTTTCAAAAAGAATCATTTCAAAATGAGTGTTTGACTGTAGCCCTCGGTCATAACTTAAAATACCCTAATTTAATAGAGATCTGTTATTTGCCAACAAACATATAGACCGCATTATAAATCGGGCAGTGGTTTGGGTATAGTATAATGGGTCGCCCCATCTCAAAAAAGATATATTGGACTTGGAAAAGGTTCAGAAAAGGGCAACAAAAATATTTAGAGGTATGGAACGGCTGCAGTATGAGGAGAGTTTAATAAGACTGGGACTTTTCAGCTTGGAAAAGAGACGACTAAGGTGGAATATGATAGAGGTCTATACAATCATGTGGAGAAAGTAAATAAGGAAGTGTTATTTACTCCTCATAACACAAGGACTAGGGGCCACCAAATGAAATTAATAGGCAGCAGACAAACAAACAAACGGAAGTATTTTTTCACACAACCGACAGTTGACCTGTGGAACTCCTTGCTGGAGGATGTTGTGAAGGCGAAGACTATAACAGGGTTCAAAAAAGAGCTTGATAAATTCATGGAGGATAGGTCCATCAATGGCTATTACCTAGGATGGGCAGGGATGGTGTCCCTAGCCTCTGTTTGCCAGAAGCTGGGAATGGGCAACAGGGCATGGATCACTCGATGATTACCTGTTCTGTTCATTCCCTCTGGGACACCTGACATTGGCCACTGTCAGAAGACAGGATACTGGGCTAGATGGATCTTTGGTCTGACCCAGTATGGCCGTTCTTATGTTCTTATGTTCATAGGCGCCAACTTTCTCCGGTGCCGGTGGGTGCCCACGCCTCCTGCCCCTTTCCCAGCCCCCGGCTCTGCCCCGACTCCACCCCATCCCCGGCCCCGCCCCCCATTCAAACCCCGTCCCCTCCCTGCCCCTATTGGATCCCTTCCCCAAATCCCGGCCCCGGCCCCACCTCTTCGCCCAGTGCCCCGCGTTCCCTCTCCTCCCCCCCCCCCCACCTCCCTGCCCCGCAAATCAGCTGTTTCATGGCGCAAACGCTGGGAGGGTGGGGGGAGAAGCAGGACGCGGCGGCACACTCGCGGAGAAGGCGGAGGTAGGCGGAGGTGAGCTGGAGCAGGGGGGTGGAGCGGGGCCACGGGGAGCTGCCGGTGGGTGCTGAGCACCCACCAATCTTTTTCTGTGGGTGCTCCAGCCCAGGAGCACCCACGGAGTCGGCGCCTATGCTGTGTTATGTTAGCTAGTCTCCATCAGCATGGTTTTGATGAAAGCTCAGTCAATGTGTTTTGCCCTTCCAATGACAAACCACTGGCTTCAGCTTTGATTTAATGGCCTAGCAGAGGCATTGAAAAACCTCAAATCAGGTGCTACAAATATGCATCTGACTGTTAGGGCTCATCAGCAACAAAGGGTGGCACAAAAGGAAGCACACAGAACCAAAAGTCATTGCAGGCAGAGAGGGGGGAAAGGAGCAAGAAAGTGTAGGAATGCAGCATAACATGTTGTGAGAGCCGATCACTCTCAATGTAGAATACGAAGTTAACAGTGCAGTGAACATTTTCTATTACACATGTGAAGTGCAAAAGGTCTGAAATAGGGTGCTGGTGAAGAGCACACTGATGTTTTTTATATGTAAATCACTCCCACTGCATTTTACAAATCTGGGTGCTGTATAGATATCATCTCACTGGATTTTGGAGGCTCCATTCTTGTGCAGAGCAGGGACGGTAGAATCCTTGTGTCTCCCTCTCCATGGAGAAGCTGCAGAGTGTGACTCACCGCTGGCAGTGAGGGATCCCTCTTTTCCTACCTCTGCTTCCTTCTGCTTTGTGAATTCACTTGCTCTCTCACACATCCTCCAGGCCGCTGGAACATTGTTAATAATACTTTGACGCTGCCCATTCCCACCTCCCCTTTCTATTCTTGGAGGGGCGGGTTTCTTTCTGGTTATATTTTGAGCATGTTGATTAGGGCAACATCCTTGCTTATATTTAGTAACACAAAGAGTTTTCATAGTGCCCATGTATTCTGCATATTACATGTTTGATGTTGCCTTTGTGTGTATTTTGCCTTTTTAAATATACATGCAAATTGTTGTGAAAGATGAAAATGCATCACCCAAAGCTGGGGCTGGAGGGAACCCAGGCAGGGAAGAGGCACATTAGGAATATTGTGAAATTGACTGGGAAAGTAGAGTAGGACAGAAGCAACGCTATGGTAAGTCGTCTCATCTGACATAGTCCCAACAAGCCTGAAAACACTGTTATTTTAGTGGAAAATTAAACCTGTTGAAATGAGGACCTGGTTGGTTTAATAACAAGGAACTAACCCCACACTTTTGCAGTGTTTTGGAAAGAACTACCGGAACATGGTAACTTGAGCCCCAGTTTAGCAAGTCACTTAAGTCCAGCTCCTCAAAAGTATTTTGGCATCTAATTCCTATTGATTTTACTCAATGGAGTTAGGCACCTTAATACGTTTGTGGCTCTGGGCCTTAGGGCCAGATTTTCAAAGATTTATAATCACTTAAAGCTGCAGATAGGGGTCTATGGCTAGATCTACAAAGGGGATTTAAGCTCAACGACTAACTTCAGGTGCCCTGCAACCTAGTGAAATCTTCAGCACCAAATCAGGTGCCCAGGCTCCCTATACAAGGTACATAGAGAGTTAGGGATCTGCAAGAGGGGAGTCACAAAAGCCAACAATCTTTGTGGGGAGCCATCTAAGGGAGCCAGTAGGAAATGCTGAGGAGATGGGTGTGGCTTATGCTCTGCCCCTCAAAGGAGCACGGCTCCTAAATCTGCTCAGAATTCACAGCGGTGAACCTTCTCCTAGAGTGAGCCATACAAACTAAGTGAGCCCTTTCTTGCAAAAACCACCAGGCTACAGAGTCATTCTCGGTGTCTCTCTGCCCAAGGAGCAATTATTTACTTACATAAAGTGGAGCAGCCTCCACAGAAGATTGAGACCTGCCCCGGGATCCTTCATAGCCCAGTGATGGAGGAAAATGCTAAGTCCCTGCCCTACATCAGGCAGAGTGGGTATTTGAACCTAAGTCTTCAACAGCTTGGGTGAGTCAACTGTTGGGTAAACCTCCTCTGGGCTGCGTTTTGTGTGGAGATTTGATCCCCTACATGTGCTCTAAGGCATTTTCAGAGCACGCTTACCAGAGCAGGCCCCACAGGTAAGATAAGTGGGGGGAAAGCCTAGTTTGTAATCCCCCTGTGGCTTAGACGGGAGCTAAACACCAAGCAACTCAGTGATGGCAATGTGCGCACACATTGCCAGAAATTTAGGCACCGTGAGGATTTTATTGACAGACATTTAGGTGCCTAGGAGTTTGGGGCACCTCCAGGGTTGTCAATTAGGAGTCTGAGGGTCTGCATCAGTGGTGGGCAACCTGCAGCCCCCGGGTAGAATGTATCATTGTGAAACCATTGTTTTACCTACTCCTATAATTGTGAAATCTACGCTCAACTACTTTGTCTTTTCTGCTTCTTGAGGGTTTCACAACCTTTTTTAAACTATTCCAGTGGGATTCCCCAAAGGGCTTAGCATGAGCTTAACTCTCCCAGGGATATCATTTGGTGTTTTACACTGACTTAGTGGGAGCAGTTAGGCTAAAGGTGAGAGTTTGGGGAAATCCCACCTGACCTGTTTTATTGTCCCTCGCAGTTAAAAGTAAGGGCTTGTACAGACGGCCACTTATGTCGGTATAACTTAGGTTTCAGGGTAGCAGCCGTGTTAGTCTGTATCCTCAAAAAGAACAGGAGTACTTGTGGCACCTTAGAGACTAACAAATTTATTAGAGCATAAGCTTTCGTGGGCTACAGCCCACTTCATCGGATGCATAACTTAGGTCGCTCAGAGGTATGATAAGTCACCCCGTGAGCGACGTACGTTACCCTGACCTAAGCGCCAGTGTGGAAAGTGCTCAGTAGTCGGGAGAGCTTCTCCCGCCGATATAGCGACCGCCTCTCATGGAGGTGGTTTTATTATGCCGACGGGAAAGCTCTCGCCCATCGGCAGAGAGCATCTTGAGCAGATGTGATACAGTGGCACAGCTGCCCTGGTGCATCTGCAGCGCTTCTAGTATCGACTAGCCTTACATTGTTAGAAGTTTGGTGAGAAGTCACTTTTGAGAGGGATTTATGTAATCGAACCCCTCACACACACAAGAGAAACAACTTTTTTTTCTTTTGAACTGTTTGTCAAGTTAACGTAGAGTATCACACAGCTTCTCTGTAGCTGGCAGTCCAATTCAGTGCACATTACTGGTGGGCTGTACCCAGGACACCTGTGCTACAAACCAGGGTGTATCCTGTACAGAGATTGTTCTTTTTGTATAATATTCTGCTGGCCTTCTGCAAGAAAATCTAATCAGACCTGAGAGTATATATCAAATCCTTCTGGAGGTGAGTTCAGCAATAACCCCATCGTATTTCATTCTCTTTTCTATCCACAGCTGGACAGCGCTACGTCCCTCATCCAGGCAGCTAAAAATCTGATGAACGCTGTGGTCCTTACTGTGAAAGCATCATATGTGGCTTCTACGAAATATCAGAAGGTCTATGGTACAGCTGCAGTGAACTCACCTGTTGTATCTTGGAAGATGAAGGCCCCTGAGAAGAAACCCTTAGTAAAGAGAGAAAAGCCAGAAGAATATCAGACACGAGTGAGAAGAGGTTCCCAGAAGAAACACATTTCCCCAGTACAGGCTTTAAGTGAATTTAAAGCTATGGATTCCTTCTAAAACACTAGGCGTTACCAGGAGGGTTTTATATTCCTTTTTGTATGCATACCTGCCGACTTGTATGCGTCTGGCATGGGGGGAAAAACTAATGAAGCAGTGTCAATTTGCATGCAACCTGAGGCTCTATTAAAGTAATTAACAATCTGCAACCCATGAATGCAGACCAATCTATTCTGATGTTACATGGAGTTATCCCAAGCTTACTTTCTTAAACTATAGCCTAAAATTGGCCAAAGAATTTTCACCTCAAGTGTGGGGATAAATAATAAACTGAAAAGCAAAACTTTATGCATGCAAGAAACATTAAGTTGGCAGGTATATTTAAAAGAAAAAACCTGGAAGTGTAATGGTAGACCATAAAGCTCGTATTGCTTCTGTTACAGTGCAAAAATGTACTAGCCAATATGCTTAAATGTGTGGCCCAATAATTAAACAATTTAACTTTTAAGTCATCTTCATCATAGTATGTGAATTTTGAACAAGGATAAAAACTAATCCATTTTAAAAAGGCTTCCTTTAATCCATATTTTATTCTTTATATTCTAATAGTGGTTATGACTATGCTCATGTTTCAATTAATCCCATTAATATGGAAAAAAGTTTTACTTTTTGCCAATTGAATTCTTTATGGTGAAGTATGAAGCACAATATGGTGATTGACATTGCCTTTTATATTATTATTATTATGTTATTGTTAGAAATAGAAGACCTGGTGGTGGAATGCTTAGACACAGAAATTGATTATGTGAGAGTTTAGAGGCAAATATGTAGGTGTAGCTTGGATTACAGGTATCTAATATACCATTGTAACCACTAAATCTCAATAAACTCATTTAACCTTGGAATCCTGGGTATGACTTCTGTCTTTTAATGCACAGATATCATTCACCATGGCCTTCAGATGAAAATCAATTTATTTTGCATTCACGCGTCCATTTTGGCGGTGAGGGAGACAAAGTAGTGTATTGTGTACTCACTTTCCCACAACAAGGAAGGGGAAGGGTGCAAATCCAGCTTGCAGCATGTATGTGAGATAAAATTCTGTGATTCTTCAGTTGAATACCCTCCTATCAATTGTATAGAAAACCAACCAAACAATTGCCCCAAACAGATTCTTTCATGTAATGTGGCAGAAAATATTTGATGGGTTTCACCCCTGAAGCAGCTACACAGTAGTTAATTTGTACTGAATTTGTAAAGCTCTATTTAATGTAGGTGTCTGAGCATCTGGGAGATCATTTTAACATGCCAGAACTGTCTACACATTATTGTACTGAAAAATGCATCATTAGCTTATATTCACTTTACAGCCTAAGAATTGGTTGAACTGCATTAATTGGGTTAATATCAGTATAACAAGGTTTTCCCTCTATTTGAATGTAGGACAAGCAGCATGAAAGTATTTTTTGTTGGAATTAATTGTTATTTCCTAGAACTTAATAGAGCATTCCTGACCTCTCATGAAAGAGCATGAAATAAAATTTGTATTAATCTGGGGCAGAGTGAGTTATATCGTTCATGGCATTTATCTGCTTTATATGATGTTGAGAGATGAGTTAGTATGTTTGCCCAGGATATATTGGTTGGACATAAGGCGTTGTCTGTTAGAACATCAGTGCAACACAACAGCATTATATTGCTTCCTCACATACAGACTGAATGCATTAAATACCCTTCAGTCACTCCACAAGGAGAAATAAGAATTCTCTTTGGCTATGTTATTTGTCTAGTGCCTAAAGACTCTCAATGAAGATCAGACCCCGATGTGCTAGGTGAGCTTCAAACACATTGGAAGACAAGAATCCTCCCTTGAAAAGCTTACACCAGAAGCCTGTGTCGCTAATTGTCATGGCATATGGTATTCATTATTACTACTTATTGAGCACCACAGATGTGGTTGGCTCTTTACAAAACAAAGACACAAGAACAAATTCCTTGATGGTGTAACTCCATTGGCTTCAGCAGAGTTACACCAGTAGAGAACGGAGTCCTTGTAATCCCTGCACTGAAACCTTTAAAATCTGTTGCCCAGATTTCCCAGTCCACTAAGGCCAACAACATATGGATTTAAACTGGCCAGTTTCCCAGCAGAGAATCCCTCTGTGTACACAAAAGATGGAGGAAAGGGCGAGTCAGGTGTGAGCTGTGTATGTATCAGGAGTGGGTAGAGCATGGCAGAGCTATGCTGAGACCTTCCTTGATGGTGGGCTCCTTACACCAGAAGTTCTAGTAGCATAATTTAGAGCAGTATCCTTCCTACTCTAATTTACCCTGGGGCCAAGCAGCCCTAAATTAGAAAGCTGCAACCAGTTCCCTATGGCCATCAATCAGGGCCTAAGTATTGGATCACAAAAACACAGATCACGGAGCATCGGGAGTATTCCAAAGGGATCTCTTACCACTGGACGTATCCCTGTGGGATTAAGTAATACTGGAATACCTTCTATTCATGTTGAACTTTGAGGATCTCTATCTGCTACATGTTTTGCCTACTTTAATTATAACTAGTTGTAAGCCAATTAAGAACAGTGTAAATTGTGGGCGTTGGTCTCCCTAATTTCAATATTACCATTGCTATACCTTGAAGTAACATTTCCAAAATGATGACTTAAAAAAAATAGTACAATGTACAAACCGTTTATTCGAAGAAATGTGGGCTTTTTGTTTGTCTTCCTCCCTTCACTCCCCACCCCACTTTCAAGAGGAGTAAACAGATCTACCTATCAGCTTAAATGATGGCTCAAAAATGGGAGCCAGTAGAAAGCCAACATTTCAAAACTGAAGACAATTAACAACCACAGGTGATCAATTATTCAATTCACTAACAAACCAAGGAAAGAGAGTTATTTAAACACTGAGTGAGTGGGGGGAGGGATAGCTCAGTGGTTTGAGCATTGGCCTCCTAAACCCAAGGTTGTAAATTCAATCCTTGAGGGGGGCCACTTAGGGATCTGGGGCAAAATCAGTACTTGGTCCTGCTAGTGAAGGCAGAGGGCTGGACTCAATGACCTTTCAAGGTCCCTTCCAGCTCTAGGAGACAGGATAGCTCCATTTATTTATTGAGTGCCACATTTCTAACTCAATATCGTACCATAATTACAGTGCAAGGAAAAGCATTAAGCCTCTGGCTGCAGGAGGTAAAATTTGGTAACATTTTTTGCACTTGATCAGGTCTCTTTTGATAATGATTTGCTCCCAGCTGGTGAGCAGACTCCCAGCCATTGGACTGAAGAACAGCATGGCGTTCTGACAGGCATCCCTGAGTTGGATTCTGTTTTCAGCAGGAATAAAAAAGTCCTGGCATAGCTCTCCGTACTGTGGTCACTATTGTTGTTATTCAAATGCCAGAACATGTGGCCTTTGCATAGGAGACCAGAAATCCAACCTACAAGACTTGCCTGTATACTATTTCCAGCAATGTCCGGTTCTTCTGAACTGTGCCTCTGCAGAGAATGCTGTGGGATTTGGGCTTGCAGCCCATCTTGACGAAGCTGAACCAAAATGTTTCTGTTTTATAGTTTCTCCCTTTGGTAAGTATAACCACCAGTTTCTGACTCAGGTACTAGTGAACACATAGACGTGGTGGACTTTTTGTGGCAGGTTGGGAAGCACTTTTCTATGAGAGCATTTTTTTTTGTTAATAGTGACTAGCAGGAAGAAGACTTTTAAAAGTTAAATGTGGTCTAGTCCAAAGGGTAGCTAATGGGACAGGGTACCTGATGGTCATCTACAAGGGTATGAAGGGTGCACAAATCAAGACCATCAAATAAATCTTTTGAGCGAGCCAAAGCCAGACTACAGGCCTTGATTCAGCAAAACAATTAAGCCCATGCTTCACTTTAAGCATGTATTAAAATTTAAGTTCCCAGTAAGACTTAAGTGTGTGCCTAACTTGAAGCATGTGCTTAAGTGCTTTTCTGCCTAGGATAAACTTAAATGTGCTTAAATACCCTGCTGAATCAGAGCTCTGATTAGTAGTAAGGGGATGAATCTAAAGGTACGTCTATACTACCTGCCGGATCAGCGGTTAGTGTTCGATGTATCGGGGATTGATTTATCGTGTCTCGTCTAGACGTGATAAATCAACCCCCAAATCAATGCCCGTACTCCACCTTGGCATGAGGAGTAAGCGGAATCGACGGGGGAGCCGCGGAGATTGACTCGCCGCAGTAAGGACAGCCAGTTGCGTATCTTAGTTTGAAACCCCTCCCCCCCCCCCCCCGCTAGTGTAGCCCAGGCCTTAGCAAAGTAACACTTTGGGCTAATAATGTCCCAATGATGCGATCTACCAGGGTGAACTACCTTCCAGAGACCCATTGCTAGAGTACTTTAAAAGCAGTGTGGATACGAAGCACTAGAAATACACTGCAGACAACAATCCTACGTTGACCAAAAGGTGGACTGGATGATATTTTCCATTTTAAATGTTTATGCTCCTATGATTAAAGCTGGCTATAATTTTTCAGCTGAAAAATGTGGCTTTGGCAAGAACAAAAGGTCTTGTTGGAATTTTTTTAAGAAAAATATTGATTTTTTTATGGGAAATTTCAAAATAAAACCAAAAATTTTGTTCAGTTTAGAACTGCATTTTTTTTTTGCTTCGTGTTGTTTTTTGAAAACTGAACTGAAACAAAAATTTCTATTCCAATTGAAATATTTGTAATTGAAACAAAACTTTAAAAATTTCATTTTGTTTAGAATTTCCTGTGAAAAGTCAAAAAATTGCAAACTAAAATGTCTCATTTGAAAATTTTTGGCAGTGCATTATAACAATTGTTTTGTTCTACTTATGATAAGGTGCTGATAGACTTCAAGGCCAGAAGGGACCATCGTGATCATCTAGTCTGACCTTCTACGCATCACAGGCCACAGAACCTCGCCCATCTCATATCATAGAATATCAGGGTTGGAAGGGACCTCGGGAGGTCATCTAGTCTGCAAAAGACCCATAACTTCTAGCTGAGTTACTGAAGTCCTTAAAAACATGATTTAAAGACTTCCAGTTATAGAGAATCCACCAATTAATCTAGTTCAGGCAAGCAAGTGACCAATGTCCATGCTGTAGAGAAAGGCGAAAAACTCCCAGGGTTTCCGTCAGTCGGACCTGGGAGAAAATTCCTTTCTGACCCTAAATATGGCAATCAGTTAAACCCACCAGCCAGATACCTGGGAAAGTATTCACTTAAGTAACTTATAGCCCTCCCTACTTGTGGTGAGTCTACCTAGTGATACAAAGTGGACCACAGATTTCTTTCAACACTCTGAAGTTCTCATCTTGTATTTTCAGCTCATTCTACAATCAAAAGGCAGTCCACTTGGCATTCCTAGACAATGTTTTAAATCAAGGTATTATCTGTGCTTCACAGGTGCCTGGTAATTTTCAGACTGAGTTGAAACTTTTCTCTATCTACCCTTTGGTTTACCCACTTAGGCACTTGAGTGCATGTTTAAGTGCTTTGCAGAACAGGGATGGACCTAAGCAGACCTTTAAAGAGGCACTTAAGTTAGGCCTTTAGAGAGTGACAATTTCATGTGTAGCTAAAGGGTTCATCCCTTTACTCCAATTTTAGCAGTGTTCCCCTTGTATCTCAGTTAACATCAAGCCATGGAGAATTTGACAACTGATGAAGACTACAGGTGACTGAAATGTGTTTTCTTTTTCTTGTTATTTTTTAAAGCAATATATATATATATTTAAATTTAATGACTTGATCTACACTGCCTTTCATTGAAACTCTTTGCTGGAGTGCCAAAGGAATAGTTTGATGTTGCAGATTGTCCAACCCAATAGTCATTTGTACCTTGAAGTAAAATTTCAAAGTTCCAAACTTGTTTGGCAGGTTCT